TTTTGATCGTGACCACAGGGTCAAACTCTCAGCTGGGACAGGGGCTCCCTCCAAACTGTTAACTCGTTCGTCATTCGGTCATCCGGAATGATCTCACGTGTTAACAAGCTGAGGTGAGACTATCTCCCTTCCAAATTTGTTCTGACACCTTTCCCGAGCCCGTTTTGATCCCTTTTCCGTTCGTGATCCACAGGGTCAAAACTCTTAGCTGAGGTGAATGCCTCCAAGCCGTTTTGATCGTGACCACAGGGTCAAACTCTCAGCTGGGACAGGGGCTCCCTCCAAACTGTTAACTCGTTCGTCATTCGGTCATCCGGAATGATCTCATGTGTTAACAAGCTGAGGTGAGACTATCTCCCTTCCAAACCCATAATTCCGATGCATTCCGAACTATTCTCTCTGGCTCGTATCATCCATATTAGGGGTCTGAGGTAACCCTTTTCGAACTGTAAGCAAGGTCACCGGATCGGGTCATTCCTTATTTATAGCTAAAAGGGCGACTCGCTTCCGAATCAAGTTAATGACTGAGGCGAGATTTTTCAAAACCATAGTTCTGATTCCCCGGGCGACAATCCGTACCTTATCCGAACGTCGCTCGGTTAATCCATATCTTACAGTCTTGACACCATCTCCAAGCCGTTTTGATCCCTTTGCCCGTACGTAATTACAGGGTCGACTTTGGCTAAGTTGACGACTCAGCTCCCTCCAAACTGTTAACCCGTTCGTCATTCGGTCATCCGGAATGATTTTGCGTGTTAAAAAGGTGAGGTGAGAATCACTGTCCTTGAACTTCAGGCCATTTTGATCCCTTTAACAATGCGTAATTACAGGGTCAAAACTCTAGCTGAAATAATGGCTCCCTCCAAACTGCTAATATGTTCCTCATTCGGTTGTCCAGAACGATTCCCATATTAACCGCTGAGGTGAGACTATCTGAGTGTCAAACTCCAAGCCGTTGGCTGAGAATGACTTTCCTTCCATGCTGTTAACCCGTTCGTCATTCGGTCATCCGGAATGACCGTGTTAACCATGGGCGCCGATTTTCTGAGCATCGATTCTTCAAGCCGTTTTGATCCCTTTATCCGCTCATAAATCTAGGGTCAAAACTTTCTTAGCTGAGAATGATTTTCCTTCCATGTTGTTAACCCGTTCATCATTCGGTCATCCGGAATGATCGTGTTAACCATGGGCTGAGATTTTCTGAGCATCGATTCTTCAAGCCGTTTTGATCCCTTTATCCGTTCATAATTCTAGGGTCAAAACTCTCTTAGCTGAGAATGATTTTCCTTCCATGTTGTTAACCCGTTCGTCATTCGGTCATCCGAAATGACTGCGTGTTAACCATGGGCTGAAATTTTCTGTGTTGCCGAACATCACTCGGCAACACAGAATTCTCGATCTTCATTTCTGAATCTTGATCCCCTTTTTTGAATCTCGATCTTCATTCCTGAATTTTGATCCCCTTTTCTGAATCTCGATCTTCATTTCTGAATCTCGATCCCCTTTTCTGAATCTCGATCTTCATTTCTGAATCTCGATCCCCTTTTCTGAATCTCGATCCCCATTTCTGAATCTCGATCCCCATTTCTGAATCTCGGTCCCCTTTTTTGAACCTCGATCTTCATTTCTGAATCTCGATCCCCTTTTCTGAATCTCAATCTTCATTTCTGAATCTCGATCCCCATTTCTGAATCTCGATCCCCTTTTCTGAATCTCGATCTTCATTTCTGAATCTCGATCCCCTTTTCTGAACCTCGATCCTCATTTCTGAATCTCGATCCCCTTTTCTGAATCTCGACCTTCATTTCTGAATCTCGATCCCCTTTTCTGAATCTCGATCTTCATTTCATTTTTTTTTCAAGAACGTTTCTGTGCTTCGTGATCTCCCTGTTCGAGCATACCGAACGGCTATGAATCTCTTCTTTGCCGGTCATGAACGTCTTCGCGCTTCATGCCAAACATCGTTGATTTCCCCGCTTGAGTTTATCAACGGCTTTTCATGCTTGTATTTTCTTCATTTCCTTGTTGGTCATGAACGTCTCTGTGCTTCATGCCAACATCATGGATTTCCCAGCTCGAGTTTATCAAACGACATTGCCTGCTCGAGTTTATCAAACGACATTGCCTCATTGTGATTTCTTCTTTTCTTTGTTGGTCGTGAACGTCTATGCGCTCCATGCCGAATCGTCATGAACATCTCTGTGAATCATGATCTCCCCGTTCGAGAGAAACGAACGAATTTCACTGCACAATCAGTATGGTAATACGGCCGTACGGCCGAACAACATATACAAGCATATATATACACAAGTATAACATTTCTTTTATATTTTTTGTTTCATGACTACCGGCCAAGAAGGTAATAACAACCTTTGGCCTGGATTTATTTCTCGAACTGCCAGAGTCCACGACCGGAACCACCTAGTGGTTGGTTGGGTCGTTCTCTGAAAAGTTTTAACTAATCAAGGTACTTACTTCGCCCCGTACTGGGTTCAACTGCCGTTCGGGCACTTACTGTCAAGTGGGACCATGAATAGTCTCAAAATTTAAAATACGTCATCGAGGACGCTTCATCCAATTAATTTGGCCCGATCGGGGGTGGACCGATACACCCATTCAAACCAAGCATTTAATTTAAAATGATGGTGATTTTATCACTAGGGCTTAGCCCCAAATTATTAAGTTCGGGATATTCTTAACCCCTAATTAATAATAAAGATAACAACGACAATAATACTGAGGGTATGAGCAAAAAAGATTGTAGTACTTAACTGAATAAGGCTGAATTTCAGCTGCCAGGCCAAGTTATTGGCCCGGAGATTTTAATTGACTAGTGATGATCCAGCCCAGTAATTGATGTGGCAGCTCCGATCATACTGATCAGGTAGTTCAGCAATCCGATCACTTTCTAACTTGGCCCATGCTATTGTTCCATCACTCACAAGTTGTAGCCCACTAACTGAAGGCCCGTACCAAAGCTCTTTATCAAAATTGGGAGGTCAACACTGTAACCCACAATCTGCCGCCCAGAACTGACCCGTTCGGCAATTTGCTTCGAAAGTGCCTCCTTCCTAATTCATACTTCAATCTCGATTAGGCTGAATTTCAGCTACCGGGCCAAGTTGTTGGCCCGGAGATTGGTAACTGCCGAAGGTGATCCAGCCCAGTAATAAAAAATGTAGGCCCTATTATAGTCAGTTGTAACCTTCACATATAAAAAATCCCACGTCTGTGGAATGATTCGGCCCAGCTGCTTGAAAGTCGGCCCAACTGCTGCCTTAACCTTCTCCCTCCAGCTCAATAATTGGGGACCCATAAAAATGCTTATTATTTTCACGGAGTGGAATGAGTCCCGTTCGGGAATCTATGTGGAGCTCGAGGTGGTCTCCTTCCCCCAAGTTGTAAATCCGGCAATAATGGCCGGTCAAAAGCTCCAATGCGGACTACCAGTTTTGATTGCCGAACAGCAAGATGCAGCTCATCCGAGGAGATACCGGAAGGGATGATGCCGTACGGGAAGATTTGGACGGCTAGGAGAAATCTCGACCTGCATCCCGCCGAGCGGGAGCCGCGAACCTGAGCCGGGAAAGCAGACAGCGTTTGGGCTGAGTAACGACCGTGGCTTGGTCCTGGCGATCGATCTGGGCGGATGTGCTCATCGAGCGGGGATGGATTGTATAGAAAGGCCGGTCGGCCTGGTGTTCTCCATGAGCGTCCGACGGTGTCGTCAGATTGGTTGTCATACTAATGTTTCAAATCGCACCCCTGTTTAATTCCAACTTGAAATTCCGTTTGAGATGGCTGAGGCCCTCAGAAAGAACATGGCCACACCGGTTGATGATGCTAACTAAACTGGGCAGCTCGTTGTAGATCCATCATCAGCTGGTCAATGAAGCAAGCATCGGCTGTATTTAATTATGGTCCGAGTGTCTCAAGAGATCGAACAGTGTGGTGATATTAGAAGCTAAGAAAACCGGACTGTGAGGGTGTCGAACGGGCTAATGCCGATTGGTGTGATGTTGGCATGGAGTGTGTTTAAGCAAGAATTAAACCAATCTAAAATTATATGTATGTAGGGATCGTACAAGAAACACAATATAAGAACCGAAAGCTAATGAGTGAGAGTATATTAATCTGGATGTATGATTCGAAAAATGGTATTACAAGTGTATAGATAATTAAGTATTTCTTTCTCTCTTCTACAATCTATTTAAAGTAGAATTTCTAACTAACTCCCATGCGGACGAACTACCCGGCGAAATGGTAGCCTTCCCCTACAAAATAGGGATCTGTTCCTCCATTTTCTCCTCAACTTCTTGGGCGCTCTTATCCACTTCGTCATGTCATTTAACCAAGCCGGCTTCTGTGGACTCCTTAAGGTCACGTGGGCCGATCCGTCCAATAAACTCAAATTTAATATAATGGGCCGATTCGCTTGATAGATCCGGGCCCAATAATTGCCCCTAAAATTTGAAGTAGTAGTCGTTACCAATTTAATCCATCCGGTCGACTACTTCTTTGAATTTTAAACGTTTCGACGCTACCTCGAAATGGACAAAACCGTCAGCCTCCTTCCTCGAGTAACCAACCCTCTGTCAGATTAGTCTCTTTTCAGCCATAACTCTTCTCTTGCGAAATATCTTTCGCTTGATTCTTGCAGAGATCCATCGTGAGAACCTATGGCATCTCAACAGTTCATCCCTCAACACATCCTCGATCCGAAGAATGCAAAACAGGCTAAACTCTCGGAGAATCATATCGAGGTCATCAAGAATGGTTCCGGATTTCCAGCGCATGCTTCCATCCGGTTTCCGGCCGCTAACGAACGGGTTGACTGGCATTGTGATGGTTGGGTCAACTTCTTCATGTATCCCTTCAAGATTGGTATGAAATTCCCTTTCTCTTCCCTAGTTAGAGATTTCTTAGCCTTTGTCAAGGTTTCTCCTTCCCAAGTAATGCCACAAGTATGGAGGGTTCTGCGAGGTTTAGAAATATTAAGCGAAAAACACAGCATCCCCTTCTCCTTCGAAGATCTGGGTTTTACCTATGATCTTCGTTCTTCTGGAGCTGGTCGGTTTACCCTGGCCGTCAAAGATGCTCGCGAGGCGCTGATATTGAGGGCGGACAAAGCTAATGATCGTGGCTGGATGAGCCAGTTCTTCTTTGTGCAAAAAGATTCCCTAAGTTCTGAGGGCGCATTTCTTGAAGAGAGTTTACACAAAGGTATCTTGACAACTCCTTGTTTTACATATGGATTTCAAATGTATTTAATTGCTATATGGCTGGTCTGCAATATGTCAAAATTACCGTTTTCACTGTTGTTTTTTTTTTATAGATAGGAAGACTATCCCCTTGAGCTATGGTCCAGACTCTGAAGGAAGGACTGTCAAAATTTTATCTTTAACTTCTGCCGAACGGACCTTTGGGAATCTAGTGGTTGATAATGAAGGTATGTCTCCCACTCCTGACCATTCTCGGTCCGTTGGGTTAAGGCGCTCTCGCCGTAATATTCAGAACGTCCTTGACGATGCCCAAGATTCACGCGCGGTCTCTGTAGATGATTCAGACCATGAATCAGAGACCTCGAGGGGTGGAGGTGAAAATGCAAGTGCTTTCGTTCCTCTTCAGATGGTGTTTCCCGGTGGTCAGGATTCCTGTTCTCTTCCAGCAAAACGTTCTGCACAACACGCTGGTACCGGTTTCAGCTATCTCAATTATTCGTCAAAAGTTGTTTTATTTAGAATGTTTATATATTTTCCTTTGCCGCAGCTGTTTCTTCGTCTAACACACGGTCGATACCTTCTGATTATGATCTTCTTAACATGGTTTCGAGAAAGAAGAAAATCCCATCCAAGTTGGCCTCTGGTTGTTCCAAAACTTCACAATGCCCCAACACAGAGATGAAATCTGCTCCTCCTCGTCCAGTGAGTGCCACCACCAATCCTGACTCTGGTGGGAAGATGAATGCTTCTTTCTCTCGTGACTTTTGCTGTTTGAAGGATGCTCTTGTGATGGGAAGTGAAATGCCTCAAGTCCTGCTTTCCTCCTCGTCCGTTGTATTCAAGGATGTATCCTCAGCTGGCCTGGTATTGGCTTCCTCGGCTTTTGCTTTCCAGGTATCTCGTCGTTTTATAAGTGCTTGATACCTGTAGAAATTTAATCCTTCTTGAGAGAAATTTGTTTTGACCTGGTAGAGTGTTCAAGCTAGCCTTGTTGCTGCAGAAAGGTTGGTTCTGCTAGAAAAGGCTGTGGACGAATTAAAAAGAAAAGAGAAAAGCTTTCACGCTCGTGCTGATGTTGATGCCCGAACGATCCAAAGTCTTCGTAGCGATAGTTCGATTTTAACAACTCAAATCTCAACTTTAAAAACCCGTATTAAGTCGTTGGAAGCGTATGGGAGGAAAAAGAAACAAGAGGTTACTGATGCGGCCTGTTTTTATGCTTGGAAAACCAGAGGTGAACTGATGACTTCATTCCTCGCAGGCGAGATGTCAAACTGGACTGCGGAACAGGACGTTGCCACCTGGTCAAAGCTTCAAGATGAGATGGACCCCCCGATTGGAGAAGACGGTTTTGACGTTGGTCAGTCCGATAATGAAGCCGATTCCAGACGCTCCCGAGATAACTAACTGCACCCCTTCCCCTTTACTTTCTCATCTCTAAACATTTGCTTCTGCTTCCAAGACTCACTCTGCTATTACCGCCCCTGCATCATGGTTTTAATATTTTCCTGTGGATTTATGGATATTGTGCTTGGTGGTTTATCCAAGCCAAATCCATGTTGTTTGGTGATTCCGTTGCTACTCCTTTTGGTCACCTGATTGACGTGTGTGTTGTTATATACGTCGTTTTCGTATGTAACCTGCCCCGTGTGCGTGGGGGAACATATATGTGTTTTGTGTTTTGTGTTTTGTGTTTTGTGTTTTGGCCAAAACTTTATTCGGTTTCATGGAACTTCATTCATGGTTTCTCCATAATGAGCATCATGTCCCCTGTATGTTGATGTTTTTTGTCATGAGCAGATCTGATGTTCTATCTGTTGTTTTGGTACTCGGTCACCTGGTATTTCGATCTTAACCTGTCATAGTCCTGCGATGATACTGTTCCGTTGGGATCGGCCGTTGGTTTGGGGCCAACGGCCCTCCGACGGTCAAGTTAGTGAATGATGAATTGTATTTACTGTATTATGTGATCTGTGACCAATTACCTGCGACTTGGCCATTTTGTGTGCTTCCCTGTATTTAAAATTATTGTCAGGGTCGGTCGCTGGCCTTAAGCCAACGGCCCTCCGACGGCCAAGTTAGTTATTTAGTAATAGGGACAGAAATGCAAAAAACAAAAGAAACTTTTGCTAAAAGTGAAAACGCTTTAAATGTACCGCATTCCAACTTCGAGGGACTTGTTTACCATCGATTGACTCCAGGCAGTATGCCCCCTGACCGATGATGTCAATGATTCTGTAAGGTCCTTCCCAATTAGGACTGAATTTTCCGGCTGCTTCATTGCCAAATGCTCTCCTCAGGACCCAATCTCCCTTCTGAAACACCTTTGCCCGAACATTTTTATTATAGCTTTTTGCCACCATTTGTTGATATGTCTGCAAACGGATCTTGGCTCGTTCACGAATCTCGTCAATGGTATCCAAGTCGTGTACCAACTCCACTCTGTTCAAATCCTCAGTCATGAGTCCATACCTCGAAGAAGGTATTTCAATCTCGGCAAGAATGACCGCTTCGCAGCCATGCACCAGTGAGAATGGGGTTTGTCCGGTTTCATTTTTCGGAGTCGTCCTGTCTGCCCAGAGTATCAAGGGCAATTCGTCAGCCCATCGGCCTTGCGCCTTTTCAAGCCTCTTCTTTAAGTTGGCAATGATAATTTTGTTGCTAGACTCGGCCTGCCCATTAGACTGCGGGTACCTAGGTGTCGACGTTTCCAATTTGATATTGTATTTCTCGCAAAAGCGTCTGGTTTTAGTGCTTATGAACTGAGATCCGTTGTCACAAACGATTTCTGAAGGAACGCCGAATCTGCAAAGGATATTTCTCTTAATAAACGAAATCACCTGGTCATCTCGTATCTGCCGAAAAGGCTCAGCCTCCACCCATTTTGAAAAGTAATCCGTCATTGCTAGCATATATACTTTCTGCCCCGGTGCCTCTGGCAACTTTCCTACAATATCCATGCCCCACTTCATAAAGGGCCATGGTGATAGAACTGGATGAAGCGTCTCGGAGGGCTGATGACGTATTGGTCCATGCATCTGACAGGGCTTGCATCTTTGGGTGAATGTGGTCGCATCTTCTCTCATGGTCGGCCAGTAATAACCGAATCTAAGAGCTTTGTTAGACAGACTTCGTCCTGCTGCGTGATTGCCGCATTCCCCCTCATGAAGATTTTTCAATGCTTTGGCGGCTTCTTGCGGTGCCAGACATCTTTGGAGTGGACCTGCGACAGATCTTTTAAATAGCACATCATCAATCAGTAAGAACTTACTTGCCTTGGATAGGAAAGCTTTGGCCTCTTTTCTGTCCTTTGGGAGAGTATTGTATTTTAAGTACGCTATGTATTGTTGTGTCCAGTCGTCTTGTGCTGGGGTCTTAATGGTAGAGGCAACCTCTTATCTGTAAATTGCCGGGCTCATCAAGTGCACATAGGGGATGTTGCGATTAATTTCTGCCCCTAGACATGATCCGACGGCGGCCAGAGCGTCAGCTTGTGTGTTTTCTTCTCGTGGGATTTGTTCAAGGGTTATCTCGTCGAATGCCGTTATCAATTCTCGGACAATTTGCAAATAAGATGTCATCTTGGGGTCCTTTGCTGCATACACACCGTTAGTTTGATTGATTATCAATAAAGAATCGCATTTTACCTCCAAGATTTTGACGCCCAAGTCCCTTGCCAATGTGAGTCCGACGATTAGTGCCTCGTATTCTGCCTCGTTGTTCGTAGCGGTGAAATCACAGTGTACTGCTTGGAGCATGGTGTCCCCCTGTGGTGACTTCAGTATCACGCCCAGACCTGCGCCGTTTTGGTTTGACGCTCCGTCAGTGTGCAATGTCCATTTTTGCTTTGGGAATCCATCGGACAGAGTGCAAATCTCTTTTTCTGCTTCCTCTTGGAGCTTTGGACTGAAGTCTGCCACAAAATCTGCAAGTGACTGTGATTTCAAGGCTGTCCTCGGTTCAAATCTTATGTCATAAGCTCCAAGTTGAATCGACCATTTAGCCATGCGACCTGTCAATTCTGGTTTCCTCATGATTGACTTCATGGGATAGTTAGTTCTAACACAAATGGTATGTGATTCAAAATAAGGACGTAATTTAATCGAAGCAACGATCAAAGCTAAAACTAATTTCTCAAGTAAAGCATACCTGGATTCCGGTCCATTTAGGGATTTACTTACGTAGTAGACTGGAGTTTGCTTCCCCTGCTCCTCTTTTGTCAGTACTGCGCTGACGGCGTGCTCTGAAACGGCCAGATAGAGTTGTAACTCTTCGTCATTTTTAGGCTTTGCGAGCAGTGGTGGTGACATCATATATTCTTTTAATTGCTGAAGCGCCTGTTCGTGTTGATCTGTCCACTCGAATTTTTTGTTTTTTCTCAAGACGTCATAAAACAAATGGCACCTGTCTGACGATTTTGAAATGAAACGATTCAAAGCCGTGATTCGTCCTGTCAACCTCTGGATATCTTTGACGGATTTTGGAGGTTCAATGTCGATAATTGCTCGTATTTGTTCCGGGCTCGCCTCTATTCCTCGTTCACTGACGATATATCCTAAAAATTCTCCTGACGTCACTCCGAAAGTACATTTCGCTGGATTGATCTTCAGATTGTACTTTTTCAGTCTTCTGAAGGGTTCCGTCAGATGATAGATATGATCCTCTTTTTTCTTTGATTTGACGATCATGTCGTCGATATAAACTTCCATGGTGTCCCCCATTAGATCTTTGAACATTAAGGTGACTAGTCTCTGAAACGTCGCGCCTGCATTTTTTAGTCCAAAAGGCATAACAATATAACAATACGTACCTGTTTCAGTGATGAAGGCTGTGCTTTCTTGATCATCAGGGTGAAGCTGTATTTGATGGTATCCACTGAATGCGTCCATGAAGGATAACATTTCATGCCCGTCCGTAGCGTCAGCCAAAGCGTCAATGTGTGGCATTGGAAATGAATCTTTGGGACACGCTTTGTTCAGATCAGTGAAGTCCACACAGACTCTCCATTTGACTGGCTTGCCTTCTTCTTGCCCTTTCTTTTTCTGAACAACAACAACATTAGCTAACCAATCGGGATACTTTACCTCCTTTACCTTGCCGGTTCGGAGCAGCGTATCAACTTCCTGGTTTATAATGGCATTCCTTTCTTTTGCAAAGCGTCTTCTTTTTTGTCTGACGGGTTTGTGTGA